TAATGTTGAACTCTATGTTTTTAATATTTTAATATTAATATGATTTTTTTAATTAAAACAATTAGTCTTAATACTTTCAAATAGTTGACCGCTAATTGGAACGATGTATGAATCCTATTTAGGACCAATATATTTTAGGAAAAATTGTCTATGATTTAAATGATCTAATCGATGCTCTTGTATTTTTATTCATTTTTTGCATATTTGAATACAGGTTAGAGATATTAGTTCGTGATTTGTACACTTACGAAATATAAAATCATTAACAAAGTTTCATTTGATTTTATTTTTTTTTAAAAATTAGTAGATTTTAATAGAAGCTGTTGAAATATATAATTAAAAAATTGAGAAAAAATTAAGAATTGCACTAAGACCCTATTTGGTGGGGATTAAAATCGGAGTTTTAATATATTTTGATAAAAATTGATGAAATTTGTGATTGAAAAGTTGTGAATCCTATGAAATATTTGATTAGAATTAATTATTGACTGATATAAATTAAAATCAATCAGGGACTAAATACGTTATTAAAATGAGTTTTAAAGAATGAGACACGATATGGACATGGTGAGTGACAGTGGGCTAAGCCCGACAGCTAAGCAAACCCCACCCATTTGTGCCGATAGACGAGAAATCAAGTTGTAGGGTAGGAGAGTGCGTTCAATCCAAAAGGGCTCTTATCTTCCACATCCAAATAGGCCCCCTTAATATTTTATCTGCCTAAATTTTCTTGGCCCTACCATATTTCCATCATTCAGATGAGGTCAAGTATTGACTCAGATACCTTTATCTTTGACCAAAATTCTCCACATGAAATAAGTGGATGAGGAAAATTTTTCAATATTCGCAAAGTATTTAAACTTAGAATTAATCGTCCTTATTTAATTAACACGTGTATTAAATAATTGGAAATGTTCTCCTGTCCACGGTGGACAGAATAAGACTGCCCACCTGCTGATGTGGCAGGAAAACCCAACATTGAGTTATCTCTGAGTGGATATTATAAGACTTTCCACAGTGAATAGAAGAACATCTCTAATTAAATAATATGGACAAGTGAAAATATGAGAATCAAAGCATAAAAGAATGTAAAACGTGTCACAATACCAACAATCGAAGGCTGCTACCATTCCCAATCATGTAAATTACGCTAATCAATGAGCAAAAGAGCACTCTTTAAAATTCTGATTCATGAAAATGGCAGTGGGAATTGTCACGCGTAAACACAACACAATTCACATGCTACTGTATCCATAAAGTTAGGCATCTCACGTAATATCTAAATCAAGAGCTCTTATTATTCTTACTCATCCATACAATGTTCCTTTTTATTCACTCTTCATTCACATTCAACGTTTAAGAATAGTTTGGTGAATTTAGGGTTTAGAGATTTTTTGAGTAAAACAAGTCAAAATTTTAGTTAATTATTATTTTAAGACCTAGGAAGTTCTAATCCATTTGAAGCAATGATGAAATGTCGCTTGAATTCAGACCTTTAGGGGTTGTTCTCTTCGTATTTCAATTTTTAGTTTTGAATTCATTTTGGATTATTTGTTTTGAGCGTTATTTTGAGATTGCTGAAAATGCATTCTTTTCGTTCTTTTGAAAAATTGTTTTCAAAAATAAAAAAATAAAGTTTTGACTTGATTTTAACTGAAAACAGCCAAAAACGAGTTTTTTTTGGCGTTCCCCCCCTTTTTTTGTAAATTTTAAACTGTGTTTGGAAATTTGTTTCTAAAAATAGGTAAGTAAACGTGTTTTCAGTATTTTCGAAAATTAAAAATTGCAAATGACCTGAAAAAAGTAAAGAGAACAGACCCTTAATTTTTTGCTTTGATCATGATTTTAATTTGAATTTGTTCGTGTATCTTCTTTAAGATGTACGTATTCCATACTAGATTTTATAGGAGATGCAATAATCGAGAGGTGGTTAATTGATAAAATAAAAACAAACTCACAAAAAGTATTTAATAGATGGGACTCTTGAAACTTTTATAAATGCTTTTTATTGTGATTTTGCCTACGCGTGGCTTGGGAATGGCTGGTAGTGGCTACGGATTCACATTTGAGCATAATTAAATTGTATTATATTTATATCAAAAGATTCTAGATGTAAGCTAACCGGATATGTATATTTCTAGTACGACACATATATTTGCTACATGGTACGAAACATAATAGAAGAAATAGTAAAAAAATAATTAGCTCGTTTTCATTATAATAATATTTTAATTAGACTGACGGTGCAACGAACACTAAAGTTTTGAATAGTTATGTCAATCATCATTGAAGTGATTTTCTTACAATAATAGTCGCTTAAGTGTCAACCAGTCAATAAACAACGTTATTTATTATGTTAGTTCAGCAAAATCGTGAAGTTAGGAATTGGGGATTAAATTCATTCAGATAAGAAAACATAACGTAACGTTACTTTTAGTCAATGTTTTAGGCCTAAATTGTATAGTAAACCCATATTTCTTTTAACAATGATTTTTTGTTGATTTGGCGGAAAAATAATGTCATTTGGTGTACATAAAATTTAAGGTTAATTTTTTTGATCGAGTGATTATTTTGATTAAAAACTTGAATAACTATTGCTACGACAAATTAGCTTCAGCGATCGTTGGCATAAATTAAACCTATTTTAATTACAATTCAATAGCTTTTCAAGATTCGAAAGCAAAATATTTTACCTTTTCATTCCACTTAGCAACTTTAACCTTTCATCTTTGTAGGATAATACACTTTCTGTCTGTCCTTTTCTAATTTCCCATTTTATAGATAATTTGAACTCATTAATCAATGCAAAGGTATGAGAGTAAAGATTGATTTCTGGAATGTCGTCATGCTGACATCATCATGACATGGCAATGTGCTAAGTATGTCTCAAAGGTTTTATTCAAATTCAGAATCATTAGTGAAAAATAAGTTACAAGTGGGGTGTACGAAGAATAAGATAACATACACGGGATATTTTCATCGAAGTGGGGCGTTTTTCGTATTGTGCCTTCACAATTACATCTTTCATCGTGCCATTAAGTATAATTACAATATTTCTAAAGTCATTTTACTTTTTGCTATTCCTAAGAATTCTTATTATTATTAAAAACAACTTGACCTATATTTCAACTAGTAATGAATAAACCATTTGTACACTCATTTTGCTTACAATAATTGAGAGCGACATCGACAAGATATGTCTTCAATGAATTAGAGACATTAATCTTTAAGGAATTCAAATCAAAGAAATATGTTAAGTGTACAGGTTTTGTTTCACAGATTTTTTACATCCGTGTGGTTCATTTTTTTTCCCCATCTTTCAACCAGATTTTTTCAAGTAACCCACCTGTATGAATTATGTGAACCATATTCTGTAAGTGTAGTAATGTAGCAAATCAAATTCGGAAAATCAACTAAGTATAATGGTTTGTATTAAACCTAAAATAATTGATACTAACTTGGCATATGCCAATGGATAGTTTTATTTGTATAATATTTTTTTACAACATTGTTGTATGCAACCAAAAAAAAAGAAATTTGATTGAAAAGATAAATTATTTTTTAAATTGTTCAATGACAACATTAAGCTGTCAACAATATTATACAACTAGCATGATTGTATACCAATTTATAGCAAGTAGGGTCATGGACTTGACACTTTGGTACACTTGGTAGGATATGGGGGTCCGACATATTTGGTCAGTTTCCATCAATAATCAGACTCTAAAAGCCAATTCGTTGATCAACCTTCCCATCACTGACCGTGAAAGACAGTTAATAATCAACTCATCGTATTGATAATAAATAAAAAGCTTGTTTGGTAGAGATTTTTATAAGAAAAATTGATTTTTGAATAGTGATATGATGGGAAATGTGTAATTGAAAAAGAAGAAAAAATTATTGATGTGATGGAAAATATTATTTTATTGAAGAATGTGTGGTTGAAAATGAGAATTGATTTACTGTAAAATTTGAAAATAAAAAACAAACAGGCCCAAAATTTGAAACATGCTACATGTACATAATTTTTTGAGGTCCTCCATCATGTGAGGGTGTGAACATCCCTATTACCAAAAATTATATACACCAAGAATTTTCCATAAAATTTCGAGGCTAGTGTGAATATAAGGTCCTGTTTGATAAGCCATTTTTTCCATGGAAGTTAGAAAAAAATTTCATTTTTTTTGCTTTTAACTTGTTTGATAGACAATATTTTTCCACCCCCCCCCACCCCACCCCACCCATGCGCCCCTTTTCCTTGACATTACAAGGGGCATGAATGATCCGGACGGTTTGTAACCATAAAATAAAAGGTATGGGCACCGAATTCAGATGTAAATTGAGAACATCTAGATGAGACTTGAATTCAAACGACCGACTTCGTACTGTTGGAGATAGGTCTCTTTTTCGTAATCAATTGATATTATTAGATGAAAAATAATTTGATTTCGACGTTAATGACAATTTCCGTATCAAAACATCACTACCAAGTAAAATTTATTCTTATACGTTTTTGCTAATACAAAGCAATTAGCCAAATTTGAAAAGTTACTTGTGTCATCAAATTATATGATAATTACTACTAATTGTTAGACAAATTTTGTAGTGCAATTCATGAAACTCAAGCATATGTTTGGCTAATTTTTATAAATTGTTTAATGTAATATTTAAGTAATTTTTTTCACGTTGATTTACAAGCAATATCAACTTATTTATGACTCATATTTATCTACTTATAATTTAAAGTTGTTTCTAAGCACTTCCCAAACATTAGTTGGGGCTGTGGGACTCATGTGAGGGGGCAAAGCTTTCATGCTTGTCAAGATTTTAGTGGCTCTCTCGTTTCCTATTTTGTTTACCAGTCAACACATATTAGTGGATGCGAGTATGAGTGGATTTTAGCATTTTACTTCAATAATTATGACTTCCTTCAAATATTGTCTAGAGTTTAAGGACTCGTTGCTACTAAAAATCCCACATCGCAACAGACAGGTTCGACTATGAGCTTAGCAGGCTCAACCACGAGCAGATATTCTGTAGTTGGTCGACTCGACCTCGACCTAGACCTCGAACACTTGGCTTTCAGCTGGCTAAAGTAAAGACAACTTTAACGTTTAAGTAACTTAAAAATAAAGGGATATTTTTAAATAATCATTCTTTTTATTTTTATTTTTCGTTTACATTAATTTTATTGCATAATGGTTTCCTTAAATATGCCACACGATGTCCGTGGTGCAAAGTAATCCTCAATTGAACATAATTTATATCGTGTAAGAAATTAAATGTAACATTGATTAATTATATCCGAATCAAGTTAGAAATTCCTAACGTAAAGACAGAAACCAACTAACCTTAATTCAATTAGTGCAGTTTCGTAACTAAATTGAGGTTTGGCAATGGTTCGTGGCTGAAAATCGGCTTGGGTAAGTGAAATCATTTATTTAGTCCTTGTTTGATTTCTGCGATTTTTTTTTTTTTTAGAACGTGTACTTAAATAATAGGAAAAAATGAAAAATTATTGTTGTACATTACCGTTTGCAGATTCTTTTAATTGATGAGGTGATAAAAAAAAAAGTGGGATATTTTTTTTTATTTGTTTGATGAGATTTTGATTCAATCAAATCTCGTTGGTAATAAAAAATAATGAATAATTGAAAATAAGTTTAATTTTTTTAAAATCAAAATCAAACCACTACATTCTATCATAGTCAAACTATTTTTTTGTTTTGTTTTCACATAGGAACCCGCAGTCGCTACCAGTCAGCGGAGGCTCGACCACTGTGAGTGCGCACTAGGTAAACCCCGCTCCATGTGCAATAGCCCGCAAACCACATAAGAGAGGTAAATCACACTAGGTACGCCTGGTATGATGGGCTCGATCGAAGAAGTGTTGGCAGGAGATTCGAACTCGTGACCTTTGATCTCCGTGTTCATATGCTTCGCCAACTCGACCACCCCGAAGGGGAATAGTCAAACTCTTCATTGCACTAGAGATGGTTCTCTTCAAAATGACATATTACCAATTAGGAAAAAAATGAATGTCAACATAAATAGTGACTTTGTGTTTGGTATACCATATAATTATTAGTATTATTCTACTTGTTATATTTCCAAAAGATCTGGATTTACTGATTTTTTTATTACTAGTAGTAAAAAATTACTTATTTTAAAATGAGTCATTTTTATCTTCTTGTTATTATATTCTTTACCAATAAAAAATTATTTATAAGTAAATTTGTCAAGCAAGGATAGCAAATCATGATAGTATAGTGATGAGAAGCAATTCTGTGTCGCCAAAGTCACTCGAATCTCTCTATATACGGAGAATTGTGAATACAGTTCAGATAGGAAAGCAAAGACGAATTTCAAAACCAAAAAAAAAGAAAGGGAAAAGTTGATAATTAGAATTCGTATATACAACTCTGTCTACTTGGTACCTGAATGTCCTCTTTTCCTTCTTAATAGATTGTAATAAAGATATTTTTCTGCTCTTTATCTCCTATATATATGAGTGTGTGTACGCAGTAGTCCACAAAGAAAGAAGAAAGTAAAACTCTGCACTACCTTAAACTCTGAATCCATTAACATTTTGGCTTTTGCGGGCATTTAACTGAGCTTATTAGTTCATTCTTTGAGAGTTGGAGATACCTTAAAATTGACACTCTGTTTAAGTATCCAATCTTGCTTAAATTTCACATTGGACTGTGAAAAAAGAAAGAGGGGGTCCCAAAAGTGTACTTGGTTCAATCAAGGGAGTGTATTTGTTTGCTTATTTCAGATCTGGGTTCAAGAAAAAGACATATCAAAATTCAAAACAAGGTATTGTTAAAAGTGAATATTGTTTTTTGCTTATGTTGTTATTGGGTTGTATTTTTGCATTTGGATCTGAGGAATTCTTGGCTTTCGATATCTGGGGGGTAGTGTTTGGTTCTTGTATTAATCTTTCGTCTCATTCATTGTCCTTTCTAAGCACCTCTGAACTGAAACTACCTCAGTCATGTACAACTTTTGATGTTCCTTTTCAGGAAATAGGAGAAAATGTTGCCTCAGAAGCAAGTAGAAGAAGCTATAGTATCCAATTTCAATGAAACCGAACATGAAGGGAAGGAAGAAGAGAAAGAAGAAGAAGATTCCAATTTCAGTGTCAAAAGCTTCCTCTGGCATGGTGGCTCCTCATGGGATGCCTGGTTCAGTTGTGCTTCAAATCAAGTATATATCTAGTTTTTCTTTCATTGCATAGAAAATCTGCATCAGATTTTCTTATTGATCAAAAGAATAGATTTAAAATATTAATTTATTTTGATAACTTTTTGGCAGGTGGCACAAGTACTACTAACTTTGCCATATTCTTTCTCCCAACTGGGAATGTTGTCTGGAGTTTTGTTTCAAGTATTCTATGGAGTTCTTGGTAGTTGGACAGCCTATCTCATCAGCGATCTCTATATCGAATATCGAAGCAGAAAGGAGAAAGAAGGTGTTAGCTTCAAGAACCATGTCATCCAGGTTTGCACCTTAGACTTTACTGAGACAAATTATACTGTACATCTCACATGCATGTTGTGCTTAAAAATTACTTTTCTAGAAAATAATTTTATACTTGCCTCACTTAAAAATAAGTTTTGTCAAGTTGTATTGTTCTTGAATTGTAGTGGTTCGAAGTATTGGATGGGTTATTAGGTCCATACTGGAAAGCAGTGGGTTTAGCCTTCAACTGTACTTTCCTCCTCTTTGGATCTGTTATCCAACTTATAGCCTGTGCAAGGTAATAAATGCTTAAATTTTTCTTGATTATAAGCTATAATATTCATGTATTGGGATTGCATAAAGTTTGATTCTTGATTTAACCAGTAACATATATTACATTAATGATCGACTGGACAAGAGGACATGGACATATATATTTGGAGCTTGTTGTGCCACAACCGTTTTCATTCCTTCGTTTCACAACTACCGGATTTGGTCCTTTCTAGGCCTCGGAATGACCACTTATACGGCATGGTACTTAACCATAGCAGCCCTTATTCACGGACAGGTAATCAATAATTAAAGTAGGATCTATAATACTGAACAATATTAATAAAAAGGGGTCGAGCCTCTTTCTTTTACACAGAAAAAAGTGTAGATAAGTCGTTAGCAAGTAAACTTTTTTCTAAATAAATGCATTTATAAATAAGGTTGAAGATGTGCAACACTCGGGTCCAGCAAAGCTAGTGCTATACTTCACCGGTGCCACCAATATATTGTATACCTTCGGTGGACATGCTGTCACTGTGTAAGCTTTTGCTTTTTTTTTTTCACTTATAATTAATTCCATTTGCTCAATTATTCATGAACAAATATTATCTTCTTCTGCTGCTGTTTCTGCACAGCTTCTCTTTGCAGCTTTTGCCGGTCACCCAGTGAGAGAAACTCAGACAGTATCATTAATTTTACTTTTTCTTTGATTGCAAGGAAATCGCAGTAAATTTAAGTAATTTTCTATAAAACATGTTTAGACTCGTAAGTTACATTTTAGTGAATAACATTTACTTATTTTAGGTATGTTTTAAATTTGAAAATATGTTATTTATCAACTTTTCTTGACGACTTCTAAGTCCTTTGCTAAGTAGAGATCGGAAAAAGCTTCAAAATTTCGTTATTTGCGTATATAAGTAAATTTTTTAACTTAGCCAAATTAACTGGCAAGACATGGCACCAAAAGTTCTTGTGCAGTGCACAACAATTGCTTATTGTTTCCAATTCTAAAAAGAACAATGGTCAGTAGATTCTTGCTCTGATCATTTTCTCGTTCGTGTGAACTTTTATAGGGAAATAATGCACGCAATGTGGAAACCACAAAAGTTCAAGTACATTTACCTATTGGCCACATTATATGTTTTCACCCTAACTCTACCGTCAGCTTCGGCCGTGTATTGGGCTTTTGGCGATAAGCTGCTCAACCACTCCAATGCCTTCTCCATCCTCCCAAAGACCAGATGGCGCGATGCAGCTGTCATCCTCATGCTCATTCACCAGGTCTGCTTGTGTATGTGTGCGCACGCGTGTGCGTATGTTTTGAACATTCGGTACACATTACATAGTTCAGTATTGTAAACTAGCTGAACGCATAACTATCTTATCTGAAAGTTGCACTAGACACAATTCATTATTTACATTGGGTGTTCATGAACTTTCGTAATGAGATATTTTTATTTTTTGCAGTTCATCACATTTGGATTTGCTTGCACACCACTCTACTTTGTGTGGGAGAAGGTTATAGGGATGCATGACACAAGAAGCATGTGTCTAAGGGCTCTTGCAAGACTGCCAGTGGTGATACCAATATGGTTTTTGGCCATTATTTTCCCGTTCTTTGGCCCCATTAACTCTGCAGTTGGCGCACTTTTAGTTAGTTTCACTGTTTACATCATCCCAGCTCTGGCCCACATGCTCACTTACAGGAAAGCCACTGCTCGTCTGGTAACTCTCTTGCACTCTCTAACGTGTAGACTCGAATTCCTTTTTTCTTGTTTTTATCAAATGTCTTATTCATGCTCGATTTTCATAAATGGATGACAGCAAATCAGTTCTAATGATACTCGACGTAAAGTTTAATGTGTTTTAAAGGGTACAAACTTATGCATTCATACACGCAATCACTAATGAAGGAATGGAAGGTACAAACACAAAAATATTTGCATTAATGGCATGGATTTGGAGATACTTCTACACCAGAAGATATAGGTGGCGAGTCCTTTTCATTTAGTTATATGCTATAGTCTAGGTGTTGTATTGTGTCAAATATTAGCTGGCTTCTGGTTGCCCCTCATTTTCTACGTAACATCGACTCTTCCCCACACGTCCTTGAAGATGAACGAAACGACGTGTTTAATACACAAAATTATTTATTGATTTTGTATAGAACAATTTACTTCAACATATCAAATACTAAAAAAAAATAATAATAATAAAATTGTGAAGGTATGTCTAAAGCTAGGATATGCATAGTTGTTCTCGGCTTTGATCGGGTTCGCGTTAGTTTGACCAAGTTTTCTTCGATTATGACTAGTTTAAAAAGAATGCAATTTGTAAGATATTCTATTTAATGGAGAAAAAAATTGGGTAGCGTTACATTATTGTGTTAATGATTGCAGAATGCTGCTGCAAAGCCACCATTCTTCATGAGAAGCTGGACAGCCATGTATGTACTAAACATCTTTGTGGTGGGCTGGGTTTTCGTAATCGGGTTTGGTTTCGGAGGATGGGCAAGCATGACCAATTTTGTTAGACAAGTCGACACATTTGGGCTCTTTGCTAAGTGTTATCAATGCAAGCCTCCAATGCCGACGAATCAACCATCGTCTTTACCGTCCCTCCATTAAGAAACTTCACCTTTTCTCAACTTATATAGAAATGTTATCCAATGCCGACGAATCAAACATCGTCTTTACCGTCCCACCATTAAGAAAATTCACCTTTTCTCAACTTATATAGAAATGTTACTAATTGACTTCTCTAAAAGTCACGTGTGTTTTGGTTTTTCAGAATTTTTTTCTTGAAAAATATTAGAGAAGATAGTGTGTTTGAATTATAATGATTCCTTAGTTAGGAAGCATATGCTAATTAGTTAATTCTATAATTGAATATATGAGTATTTACCTAATGCTTTATCTTATTCATTGCAAGCATGTGAGGCGTTTTTATCTAATGTGGGCATGAGGATGGCAATAGAACGAGTACGAGACACTTCGATCGTTCCCGTTCTCGTCGAACATTTTTTTTTTACCTTATCATATTTCCATACCAGTCAAAGCGGGACGGGTTCATGGTGGGGCAGTTCCCCTACCCCGTTTATTTATTTATTTATTTGTTTTTGTTTTATTTTTTTACTTTACCTTTTTATATCTTTAGTTAGCGAACATTATTATTTTTTTTTCAATTTTTTTAAGAATAATTCGTGTTTTCTTCAAAACTAATGATAAATCTTTTTTATTTGTTTGATAAAAAATTTAAATTTGAAATTAACTTTAAATGGGGATATCGGGGTGGGAACCATGTTTCCCTTATCCATCCCATATCCACTTCGAGGCAACGATCCCGTCCCGTCCCGTCCTCGTTTCATTTACCCAATTAGGCAGGTAATTCCCTACCCAATCGGGATGAGCCTGTTGATATCAAGTTGAATGGATTTTATTTATTTATTTACATTTCCATGTGGGCTTGATCTTAAGCCCTTGTTTGATTTGAATAAAATCAAATTAATTTTAATAACACGGTTTATGGGATTCGCAGCTTTTTAATCATATATTTCATCAAATTTTATCAAAATTTACAGAAAAAATAAAAATTCTAACTTTAATCTATACCAAACAAGGGCTAAAGACCAACATTGTAATTTTAGAAAGAGGAAATTATAGGCAGCCACATCTAATTTTTAAATTTCCCATTACAATAATCAAATACAAAAAACTTTTCTTTCAAAAATCAAGGGCCCTATCCCCTACACCCACGCATCACACTAATTAGGCCCGATTTGTCATCCTTTAAAAAATTAAATTGTTTACTACAGTATCATTTCTCCATCACGTATTTACACAATAAAATATTTTACACACAAACCAATAAAGTTTCTTTACTTTTTAACCATACATACTCCAAAAAATACTATTCCATAACTAATTATTCCCAAATAAATTCTATCAAACATGCACTTAATTGTGACGCTCTATTACTCTCTTTACGACTCTATCTCTGTTCGCTCTCTATGTCTACTGCACCCACCAACTTTGGCTACCATTACTAAAAATTAGCCACCACTTTCCCCTATACCTGGTGGTGGATCGACGCACAAGATCTGTACTCACTCACTTGCATTGTCACCATCTTGTATCTTCTCATCAAAGCTCTGCCGTCAGATCCCGCCTCCAAAATATGTCCCCATTGTAAAATAGATGTGGTGATTGTGAGAGATCTATGACATCTATGAACATCATCAAGCAACGACGATCTATGTCAAAATTAGGACTTAAATTTGGGAGGTGCGATCTGCAATTTCCTATGTCTATGTTGGGCTGTGTCATGTTGTTGGCACATGTGGTCGTGGTGGCGGCGGCTCTGCATCTACGGTGGTATGATCTGCAATCTCCTCATACGTCTATGTTGGGTTGTGTGATGTGTTGTTGGTACAATGCGATGTTGCATCTATGGTTTGTGCATGTTTTTGTTGTTGGTTGGAAGTGGATGTAGTGGTGTGTGGTGGAGAGAGATGTGCGGGTGAATTTGAGGAAGAGGTAGTGGTGGTGGAGACAACGTTTGAGTGGTGGTAAAGGTGGAGGTAAAGGTGGATTTGAGGAGGTAATAGTCATATTTGGTGGTGGTGGTGGTGGTGACGATGACGATTATGGTAGTGGTTAGGTGGTAGCAATACCGATGGTGGTGTAGTTAGGTTGGACAAAAAGCTTTCGTCACCAATTATTTGAGTAATTGTTACAATAAAATGGATAATTTGTAAAAAATAAAAATAAATAATACACGACTTTAAAAAATGTGTGATTTATCATTAAATTTGTAATTGTGACCCATAATTTGTATCTTTGTAACTATGACATTATGAAATTTTTTACTGTAACAATACATTGTGTATTATTATGACTTTCATATGTTTAATTAATTAGTAAGTCACAAATTTTTATGAGGTGATTGCATGTTTCACCAACTAACTAACCACCTAATTTTTTAAAGAATTTCATGAGTTTCTTAAATTTGAAAATATATTTTCAAACTATGATAATTATATATTGTGGTAATTATACAAAACCCTTCTTTTCAACTTCACTTTTCCAAAACCAGACGAGAAGTTTCACTTTTCAAAAATCAGATATTTCAATTTTAAATATTAAATAGATAACTATTTCCAATTTCCTCCTGTTCCCACCATAAAATCCCCAATTTTTCACTAAATCCCTCACCTCCTCCTCCCGTATCTCGCTCTCCCCACCGTGCTGGTGCCTCCGCCTGCGACCTTTTTCCATTGTGCTGCTGCCGCCGGTGAATTCTCCTCTCCTATCCCTCCCCTTCTCCTTGCTTTCCTCCCCTTCCCTCTTCTTCTGCTGCCGGATTTTTTGATGCTGCTGCCGGCGTTGCAGCAGCGTCGCGATGCTGCTACCCGAATTCGCATCAGCGTCGCGACGCTGTCCAGGTTTTTGTCCCCAAAGAGCGTCGTCGCCATAGCCTCCAAGAAAGCGGCCACTGGTCTGTGTGCTCTGTATGGAGGTGGGTGTGATTTTTGTGGACGTGGGCGTGATCTACGTGGGAGGGGTGGCCACGCCGTGGTGGTGATGTTGGTTGTGGGGTGTTGGAAGTTCTGTATCTATTTTTTTGGTGTGGTCGTCGTGGTTTCTAGCTGCGGTGGAGGTGGGTGATGGTGGTGGATCTTGTGGGGGAGGTGAGGTGGTGGTGGATCTGGTGTGAAAGAAGTGGTGGTGGTGTTTTCCTGCTGTTGATTTGTTTGAAGTGGTGGTGGTGTTCGGTGGTGCTGCACAGTGGTGGTCACAGGTGTTGTGCAGTGTTGGTGTTT